TGATTTGTTAGGCTGGTCTGGAGCAGTGTTCAGTTTAGGGCTAATATTCTGTACTACTGAGACAAAAGTTTTCTGTGTACTCTACCCATTATCCCATGAATTAGGCGTTTTCTCCATTCTACCTGTTGGGAACAGTCATAGTTCCCAGCCTTGTGTGAGTGCCCAATACTTCCCTCTTATTCTAGAAGAGGTAGAAGAGAATGGAATAATAAAGAACTATGTGACAATTAACCTTGGACAGGAGAAGAGAAACAGGGAAATCAACATTTCTTTTTCTTCTTACGTGTCATATAGCAAATACTTTACATGGTTTAAGGTTACGCTTGTCAGTAATTTTACAGGACAAGTATAAATTAAATTTCATTACAGATGAGGAGATAGGGTAGAAAGGCTAGTAACTTAAACTGCTTGACAGTGTCAAAGCTCATGCTTTTTTCTAATGTATGTGGTCTCTGGACTCTTCTTCAGTGGAGGGAGAGTAAAAGCTGGTGAAGATTTAGGCTATAGTTGGAGAAAAGGGAGAAAAGAGCTATGTACCCATTGAATTTATGTAGAGTTTACTGTAAAATTCATATCTGCTCTTGGGGTAGAAAATATGGGCAAGAGGGGTAGATGACTATGTTAATTTGTGCAGAAGCATTATATAAAATAGTTAGTGGGAGCAATGCTCTGAGTTCTAGTTCTTATATTCCGTAAATCTTACTTCAGAATTCATAACATGGACTTGCACAGTAGTTACATCTTATCCACAGTTTTAGTTTCACTGTCTACAGTTTTAGTTACCCATGTCACCTGTGGTGCAGAAGCAGGTGATCGTCCTCCTGATGTATTTATTGTCAGAAGATCAGTAGTAGTCTAACACTACATCACGGTGCCTATGTCATTCCCCTTACTTTATCTCATCACGTAGGCATTTTATCATCTCACAGCATCACCAGAAGAAGGGTGAATACAATATTTGAGAGAGAGTCCACATTCATGTAACTTTTATGACAGGTTATTGCCATAATTGTTCTATTTTATTATTATTGTTAATTTCTTACTAGGCCTAATTTCGAAATTAAACCTAATTATTGGTATGTATGTACGTATAAGAAGAAAAGTATATATAGGGCTTAGTACTATCTGTGGTTTTAGGCATCTGCAGGGGATCTTAGGATATATCCCTTGCAGATAAGGGGGCAGGAGGTTACTGTACTTTTTTTTTACATCTTTATACACAAATAGCAAACTCAGTAACTAGGCGAAAAGACTTAATTTATTGGGTATGATTAGAAGATAAATAGTCTAAGAGGTGACCTTTGTAAGTTAACGTTTTAATGTTCTTTGTTTCTATGCCCGCTTTTTTTAAAAACTGTATTCTGCTTGTATAGGTATTAGAATGAATCATATTTAATTGGTGTCAAAAGAGTTGAATATTGGCAATTTCATGTGGTTCAACATAACAGTATATACTATTTTGAAAGGACAAGAAGCAGTAATTGTAACCATTATTAACACTATTACAAGGATCATGTCTGTTTTATACTTACCAGTGTATGCCCCATGCCAGGCACAGTACATGTAGTAGACATTCAATAAATAATTTGTGAATGAGAAACTATAGGTTTTTGAGGTTTCATAACATGTTTTATGAGAAATCTAGGTAAAGATTAAGGGAGATTTTCTTCTTGTTGGGCCCTAAGTTCTTTTTAAAAGACTAAAAAGAGAAGGATTTTTTTAGCAAAGCTCTTTTATTTCCAATACAAGATAATATTAAATAATAAAATATTTACTACTCTGGCTTCTTAGCCTTCTTTTAAAGAGGTTCACCTTCTTCCACCATTTCCAGGATCCCAGCAAAGATTTGAGACTCCTTACTCTCCTCCTCCTTTCTTAGGAGGTTCTATGAAAGAGGCTGCCAGTGATTAAGTTTGTTACATTGTGGAGACTGCTTTTTCCTTTCAGTTGTTTTGCCTCTCCTTTTATAAACTCAAGATGGTTTACGTGAAAAATGCAATGATAACTTTTCCTTTCTCATTTGAGGACAGAGATGCAGCTTTTTCTATACACTAACAAGCTTTTACAAATTATTAAGTATGTAATATACCCTATGCTCATTTCTGTGTCCTAATAACTTAGTAAATTATCTTATCCAAATGCAATAACAGAAGACTTAGGCTGTATTATAGTCACCCAATAATGGTTTTCCAGAACCCTAATGTTCACAGATGAGTTATTATAATAAGGCAGAGGGCTAAGAAGTCTCTGGCTTGTTTGGGATTGCTCAGGGTCTTGGCACAAATATGAAGAAAATGTATTTGTCATATCATTATTATTATTTGGGCCATTATATTACCTTGCACGTTTTTTTGCAGTATTGAGTTTCATCCACACTGTGGTGCTAGAAAACCAAGAATTAATTGTTTCCCTCCTAATCAGTGGAATATGTATTTCTAAGTGTTCCTTATAAAATAAATACTTCCTTGAATTATAAATAGCAGTTTCCTCAACCTTCATCAGATCCATAATAAAGTTAAGATTTTACCCCTGAAATGCCTCCAAACTTCAGTCAGTCATCCTTTACGAAGATGACTGCAATAACTTTCTAATGGATCTTCCTGGTGTTAACCATAAAAATAAAACAGCCGAGTTATTTTGTCAACAATGGATTTATTTGGGAATATTAGAGAATTGCAATTCGGGACATGCAAGCTACAGCAAAACCATAGGCAAGCTCAGCAAACAAAGGAGAGGGAAGTTATTTTATGGAGAAGGAGGAGGAAGTTGAGAGGGGCTGTTTTGAATGAAAGTCCACTGAAAAGCTAGAGTACAGGGTAATGTTGATTTCTCATTAACTGAGTTGCAGGGGTAGTGCCATTTCTTGTAGGAGATGCAGTGTACATCTTTTCCCTTTTGGGGCCTGTAATTGGTGATTCTTTCCTATTGAATATTCTGCTGTTGGGGTCTGTAATTAACAGTACTTCCTGTAATTGATGTTGAATGGTTGGGTTCCCCCTGCTAGCTTCTCCACTGTATTTTTAGTGAGGTTTCATTTTATTAATATTTACACTGGATTTTACCTTACTTTGCTTCAGTCCGTTTTACATATTGTAGTTATAAGTAATCTTTTATAAATTCAAATCTGAACTTTACTCTCCTGCTTAAAAACTTAAATGAACTACGTTAACTTTATTGATAAAGACAAGGCCTTTCATGATCCAACTCCTGCCCAGTTCTCTAGCTTTGTTTATCTGTAGCCTTTTCTTGTACAGATCTCCATCGTGCTTTGTATTTCAGCCAGTTTGGTCTTCTTTTGGTTCTTTGAACACAAGTTTTACCTCCTGCTTTGCCTGCTTTTCCTTCTGCGTGTGTGTGTGTGCGTGCGCGCACGCACGCACATATAGATATATTTCTTCATAAATTAACTTTATCCTTTCTAGCTTGGCTTGTATTTCTGAAAGCTTTCATCAGTTCCCCTACTCCATAGATCAGTGCCCAGTGTTATTTGTTCTCATGGTACCCGGTAATTTTTCTTCCCAACATTTATTACAGTTTTCATTATATATTTACCTATGTGATTATTTGACTAATGTCCATTTCCTCACTGAATCATAAGTGCTAAGAAGGTAGATTCTGTGCTTTTTGCTCATCATTGTATCAGTGGTGCTTATTAAAATATTGCTGAATAAATCAGTGAATGAATATAAGTCAGCCAGAACTCAAGGCAGGTAATAGAAATAGGAACCGATGAACACTATGGAAAAAAAAATTGCAATTAGAATACAGTAAGTTGGGTTTTTGTTTTTATTTTTAAATTTTTTATTTACAGTAAGTTGAGTTTTATATAAAGGTAAGGTATAGGCCCAGCATAGTTTACTTATATATTTCCTGTCAGAGCAGAAATTAATTCTAAGTCAAGGCCAGCCCTGAGCTATAAGTGTTCTTATCTGCATATGAGGGAAGAAAGAGAGGAAGCAGAGATCACATTTAATAGATTAAAATTATGGAAGTAGGTGCGCCTTTGTGGCTCAGTCAGTTGAGTGCCTGCCTTTGGCTCAGGTCATGATCCCAGGGTCCTGGGATCGAGCCCCACATCGGGCTCCCTGCTCAGCGGGGAGCCTGCTTCTCCCTCTCCCTCTGCCTGCTGCTCTGCCTACTTGTGCATGCGCTTGCGTGCTCTGTCAAATAAATAAATGAAATCTTTAAAAAAAAATTATGGAAGTAGCTAAGAGAGTAGATCTTAAAAGTTCTCATCACAAAAAAAATAACTGTGAGGTGATGGATGTGTTCAGTAACTTACTGTGGTAATCATTTCACAATATGTTCATATATCAAGTCATTATATTGTACACCTTAAACTTATACAGTGTTATATGTCAATTACATCACGATAAAGGTGGAAAAAAGTAAAAATAAAATTACGGAAATTGCTAATGCCCTAGTGGAAAACACTGTTCTTTAACTAGGAAACCTTGTTTCTATTACAGGTAGAATATTTTGTTCTGTACCCTTGGGAAAGATGTGATAAAACATTGGAGAAATCACCATTTGTGCTTACATTTGTTACCATAATTGTATAATGAAATAAAAACATTATCTTTATTTCTTAATGTGTGTTAAAAAAGGAATGAGATATAATAGAGGTAAAAGCATTTTAAAAACTATAAAATTCCCTATAAAATACTTAATATTTGCCCAAAAGACAGGAGATCTTCAATTTTAGAATTTCCCTGTTCTTTTTATTCATAATTACAAGGAATAGGTGCCTAGAAGAAGAGATGGTAATGGCATGAAAAGCCCTCTCTTACGACTATTGTCAGGAATCATTCAATTTTACTTACTGTTTATCCTCTATACACAGCGCCTAGAAATTGTTTTAGAATGAATAATATAGTGAATTTGTCCCAAAGGCCTTTGTGATTAGCTTTCTGCAGTTTCTTCACCTTGTAAGCATTCTGCAAAAAGAAATAATCTGAGACAAATTTGTGATGTGTATGTTTATTTTTCTTATATTTCAGCCGTGGCAGAAGTAAAACTTCGAGATGATCAATATACACTGGAACACATGCATGCTTTTGGAATGTATAATTACCTACACTGTGATTCATGGTATCAAGACAGTGTCTACTACATTGATAACCTTGGAAGAGTTATGAATTTAACAGTGATGCTGGTAAGAAAAATATCTGTAATATTAGGATTTTCCAATAAATTTGATTCTTAATTTTCATTTTTAATCTGGTGTCCAGAGAATTGAGGTACATGTATCTTTAATATATGGAATCATTCCTATCCTTAATCTGTATAAGGCTCTATTCTGTTTAATTCAGTTTTAATTTTTCCCTTTGTTCCTGTTACACTTAAGTATTCTCCTCCACTCCCACCAATGAGCAACTACTCTAATGGGTTTTATAGATCAATATTGATGTAACTGTTCATGTCTGCTTTTTCTAATGTGAAGTGTTAACACTGACTATAAACATTCGATTTGTCTATTTTTCCTTTTGATTCTTGCTTTTTGTATTTTTAATTGTGTTAATTGGGGCACAAACATTTTGTCTGCTATGGATTTGTCCTTTTAGCATTATGAAATGCCCCTCTTCATATCTAGACTCTGGGAATGATTTTTGTCTTGAAATCTTCTGATATTAATAAAGTTGTGCTGGCTTTTTTTTATTAGTAATATTCATCTTTTTCTATCCTTTTTCTTTCAGTTTATCAATGTTGTTTTTAGTCTGACTGACACCTTAGACCACTCAGCCATCCTGACATGACAGTGTTATTTTTAAAGTACATCTCTTGTAAAGAGCATGTAGTTGGGTCTTGTTTTGTATCTGGCATGACAATCTGTCCTTTAATTTGAAGGGCTTAGTACATTTATATTTAATGTAATTACTGATATGGTTGGATTATGTTACCATTTTGCTATCTTTTCAGTTTGTACCGTCTGTTCTTTTTTTCTTTAGCTCTCTGTTCCTACCTGTTTTTGGATTAAGCAAATTTTCTTAAAATTCCGTTTAATTTTCTTTTTTGGCTTTTATCTAAACCCGTTTGTATTATCATTTTTTTAATGGTTAATATAGAGTTTATAGTATTCATCCTTAACTTATCATAGTCTTCCTCTACTTAATATTTTACTATAAAAACTTTACAATAATATATTTCCTTGTACTTCTCTTATATCCTTCAAGCTATTTTCGTCCTGTATTTTACTTCATGTTATTAGTGTATTTGCTTTAAACAGTAAGTAGAATAATAATAGCTTCCTGACTACTCCCTCCTCCTAGCATAGTTCTACATTGCATCTACAGAATCATCAATCTGATTTTTTTTTAATTTGATATATAAGTGAGATCATATGGTATTTGTCTTTCTCTGACTTATTTCACATAGCTTAATGCCCTCAAAGTGCATCCATGTTGTTGCAAATGGCAGGATTTCATTCCTTTTTATGGCTAAATAAAATATTGTATTGTGTGTGTGTGTGTATATATATATATAGTAGTCTAGTTTCACTCTTTTTCATGTGACTGTCAGGTTTTCCCAGTACTGTTTATTGAAGAGACTGTCCTTTTCCTATTGTATATTCTTGGCTCCTTGTTGTAAATCAGTTGATCATATGTGTGTGATTTGATTTCTGGATTCTGTTTTGTTCCATTGTCTTGAATTTCATACTGTTTTGATGACCACAGTTTTGTAAAGTAGTTTGAAATCAGGGAGCGTGATGCTTCCAGCTTTGTTCTTCTTTCTCAAGACTGGGATTTAGCTTTTTGGGGTCTTTTGTGGGTCCATACAAATTTGAGGATTGTTGTATTTCTGTGAAAATGCCATTGGAGTTTTAATAGAGATTGAATTGAATCTGTAGATTGCTTTGAGTAGTATGGACATTTTAACAATATCGATTCTTCCAGTCCATGAGAATGGAGTATTTTCCCATTTATTTGTGTTTTCTTGTAAATTCTTTTCGTTTCCTCTGTGTCCTTCCAGAAGTGGTTTGTTTTTTCTGTGTCTGTTTTGATTCTTTGGCAAGTGTAAGCACAAAGTGTTGTGTGTGTACATATATATACACACACACATATATATGTATTTTAAAGATTTTATTTATTTATTTTAGAGAGAGAGAGGTGGGACTTGATCTCACAACCTTGAGACCATGACCTGAGCTGAAACCAAGAGTTGGACACCTAACCAACTGAGCCACCCAGGTGCCCCGTGATATCTATTTTTAAAATACAAACTCTTCATCTTGGTATATGCAGTTTATGGTGCCCTTCTCTCCAACCTTGTGTTTTACCATTTTGTTCACTATACCCAAACAATACCAAACTCTTGCAGTTCCCGAGATATGCTCTGTATCCTGTTGCCTTCAGCCCATTTCCCATGTGATTAACTCCACCTGGAACATTCTTCCTTAGTTCTGTGTCAGGTTGCTTCCCAGTCTTAAGTCCCAGCAAACCATCTCATCTATTAAGTTTTCCCTGACATCCTCCCTTTGCGCCTCCAGGAATATTCAAACAATTGGCCCTCAGCTCTATGTGGACTTTGAATTCCTTCTAGACCAGGGGTTGGCAGACCTTTCCTGCACAGGGCCAGATAATTAATATTTTAGGGTTTGTAGGCTAGACAGTCTTATGTCACAACTACTCGGTTTTGCTATAGTGGTATGAAAACAGCATTAGACAATATGTAAATGAATGTGACTGAATTCCAATAAAACTTTATTTTTAAAAATGACGCCCAGATTTAGGTCATTGACTAGAGCTTGCCAACCCTTAGTCTACGCCCTGGGTTTTTCTTATATTTCTATAATCCTGCCACCCAGCAGGAGGCTTGGTCAGTATGTTTGTAGAAATAATAACAGCTGGTTAAAGCTTGTTCTTATCCTTTGGAGTTGGCTTTGCATTCTTTTTTTTTTTTTTAAAGATGTTATCTATTTTTTTGACAGACAGAGACAGTGAGAGCAGGAATGCAAGCAGTGGGGAGTGGGAGAGGGAGAAGCAGGCCCCCTGCCGAGCAGGGAACCTGACGTGGGGCTCGATCCCGGGACTCTGGGATCATGACCTGAGCCGAAAGCAGACGCTTAACGACTGAGCCACTCAGGCGCCCCTTGGCTTTGCATTCTTTTTCGCATTCTTTCTCTCTCTTTTTTTTAGATTTATTTATTTATTTGAAAGAGAGCGAGCACGTGTGGGGGGGGGGAGGGGCAGAGGGAGAAAGAATCCTCAAGCGACTCCCTGCTGAGAACAGAGCCCTAAACAGGGCCTGATCCCAGGACCCTGAGATCATGACCTGAGTGGAAATCAAGAGCTGGCCACTTAACCAACTGAGCTACCGAGGCTTGGTTTCTTGATAGGATTTTTCTCTTATTATTTCTTCTTCAGGCTCAGGTATGAGTCTTTGGTTTATTGAGAAAAATAATTTTAGTGAATAATAAATACTTATTTTTCTTCAGCAAACATTTATTGAATGCTGTTATGTGCTTTGTAGCCACATATACAAATAAATAGATAACATGTAACAGTGGAAGTAGGGACAGGATGCAGACATAGTATGGAGAAGGAAATGAGAAATGTGGAAAGATGAAGTGTTCAGAGAAGTTTCAGAAGAGATGTCACGCCCCTTAACAGAATTTTGAAGGATCAATTAGTTTGCCATGCAGCTTGAGGCAGCTATGTCTGCACCTGAGTTAAGAGGCACATTCAGCAAACTCCCACAGGCATGTGTGTGCACTATAGGTACTCTAGCTTGATTTGCTGAAACACGAGTATGTATAGAAGGACCTAAATAGTATGCAGGCTATGGTTGGAGAGGAGGATGGCAAGGTGGGCAGAGGCCAGGTTTTGAAGGGGGGAGGAACAGTCATGTTATTCTGTGTTAAGCAAAGAGAAATGTTAAAAAGAAAGAAAGATTGTTTGATTCATTTTAGTTCTAACTATGGTTGGCCGGGAGACGGGTGTGGATAGGGTCACAGTTTTGGGCCAGAAACTTGGTTTTATCAAATCACTCGTTGGTAATCATGATTTAGAATACTAAAACCATTTTAAGTCACAAGATTGATTGGAAATGTGGAATGAAAGTTTAATGATAGCGTTTGAAATACTATAAGCAGTGTGGACTGGTCAATATAGTTTTCTTCTCCCTTTGGGAAGTTTTCACAGGAAATCAAATGACGTAATTTTATTAAGATAACTTACTTGATGTGGAATCAGGGCAAAGACTAATGTTTTTGATCCCTTTTTTCTGACCTATTCTCTGGCTTCTATGGACATCTTAGAATAACTAGTTATAGTTCCTTATTTAGTTTAGTCTCTTTACCTATGGACTCATTAAAGACACAATATACACGTACACTCTATATGCACTATCTACTTGGGTAGTGTGTACATTTGAGCAAAATGCCCTATATGCATACATGTGCAGTGTATTATCTATACATGATTATACATGTCCATACTCTGCATATGCATAATTTGTATTTTAACTGTGTTTTTTAAATTTAAAGAACTTTTATATTTTTTAGATTCTGTTATGTTTTGTTTGATTGGGAAGACAAATCTAAAATCTGGAAATTCTCTTAATACTGACTTACAGAGCCTAACTAAGTCACATAGTCTAATTTATACTCTTCACTTGACCTTTAAAATATTTATTGAATACCTACTATATGTTACACATTGTCGTAGGCACTGGGAATGCTGCAGCATACAAAATAAAGTTTCTTCTAGTTTATTAATTCACAGCAGACTGTGAATTGACAGTTGACCCTTGAACAATACTGGGAATCTTAGTGCTAAACCCTTCCCCCCATTGCACAATCAAAAATTTGCAGTAGAAAAGCACAACTTTTGAGTCCCTAAAACTTAACTAATAGCTTACTGTTGACCAGAAGCCTTACTGATAACATAAAGTTGATTAACATATTTTATATATGTATAGTATATTTGTATTTATTTTCACAAATTAATAATTTTTTTAATTTTGTTTTTGGTGATATCTGTCAGATTTTCATTAACGTTTTGCTCACTTCCTTAAAGGAATTGGAGAGATTTCTGGAATTGGAACAGTTTAGGACTGGAATGACCCTTTCCTTATATGTTAAATAAAGATCCTCTTTGGACCTATTTTATTATATATCCTTTTGTCCTTTTCAGTGATAGTCTTCTAATTACCTAT